TTGTATTTTTAGTAGATACAGGGCTTTACCATGTTGGCCGGGCTGGTCTGGAACTCCTGACCTCAGGTGATCCATCTGCCTCGGCCTCCCAAAGTGCTGGGATTACAGGCGTGAGCTGCTGCTCCCAGCCTTCCATGGTTTAAAATGAACTGAAAATACTTGTCTGGCTGTTTTCTGTCTGCTACCCATTTTCCTGTAGTCACAGCCCTGAGGTTCAGTCAGGCTTAAATAATTGCTGCAGCCTTTTAAACAGCATTTCTGGTATTTCTGTTTCTGCAGTTACAAAGAACATTCTCAAGCATTAGTTTAGAACTGTATACTTCACAGTTGTATAGTGATTTCCTATAGTCTTATACTTCAGACTAAACTTCTAATCCAAGCATTTTGACTGTATCCCTCTTGGTCCCCATTCTTAGTGCTTTTCCTTGTCCACTGCATTCGTTTGCAGTTTAACCAGATAAATATGCCAGTTTTTCAAAATACTTTTTCTTATCTTTGAATCTTTTCACTGTGTTTATAACAATGTAATTCATGTCTCTGTACTTAATTTTTTTGTTTCTTAAAAACTAAATTTTATGGTTGGGCATGGTGGCTCATGCCTGTAATCTCCCAGCACTTTGGGAGGCTGAAGCTATCGCATTGCTTGAGCTCAGGAATTTGAGACCAGCCTGGGCAACATGGTGAAAACCCCTCTCTACAAAAAATGCAGAAACAGCCAGATGTGGTGGCACATTCCTGTAGTCCCAGCTACTCGCAGAGCTGAGGTGGGAGGATCACTTGAGCCCGGGGAGGTTGAGACTGCACTGAGCCGTGATCACACCACTGCACTCCAGCCTGGGTGATAGAACAAGACCCTGTCTCAAACAAACAAACAAAAACCCAACTAAATTTTATACCCCTCTTTTTGTGATCTTCCTTCTCTAATGTTTTGTATCACACTACAGGCATTCCAGTCTCTCTCCCTCGCTTTTTAAGGATGGGGTCTTGATCCATTGCCCAGGTTGGAGTGCAGTGGTCCAGTCTCAGCTCACTGCAGCCTTGACCTCCTGGGCTCAGGTGATTCTCCCTGCTCAGCCTCCAGAATAGCTGTGACCACAGGTGTGTGCCCCCATGCCTGGCTAAGTTTTTGTAGAGCTGGGGTTTGCCATGTTGCCCAGCCTGGTCTTAAACTCCTGAGCTCAAGAAATCCACCCGCCTTGACCTCACTAAGTGCCGGGATTATAGGCATGAGCCCCTGTGCCCAACCTCACTATTACAAATAATCTTTTGGCATTCTGTTGAGGCCTGCTTTGATTTTTTTTTTTTTCCCCCCTGTTATGTGGTTTTTTTTTTTTTTTTTTTTTTTAATAAGAGATGGAGTTTCACTTTTGTGCCCAGGTTGGAGTGCAGTAGTGTGATCTCGGTTCACCACAACCTCCGCCTCCCGGGTTCAAGTGATTCTCCTGCCTTAGCCTCCTGAGTATCTGGGATTACAGGCATGTGCCACCACGCTCAGCTAATTTTGTATTTTAGTAGATAACGGGTTTTCTCCATGTTGGTCAGGCTGGTCTCGAACTCCCAACCTCAGGTGATCTGCCTGCCTCGGCCTCCCAAAGTGCTGGGATTGCAGGAGTAAGCCACGGCACACAGACTCCCTGTTATGTTTTTACTTATCTTTGGTCTCTTTAATCAGGTCAAAGATTGTCAAAGATTGATGATTCTTAGGTTAAATACATTGTTAGCACTTTGTAAAAAGTAGTGCCTCAATAAATAATATAATGTAATTTTAGGGTAAGACATAATTGTAGAGAATGGATTTTAATTTTTTGTTTGTTTGTTTGAGACAGAGTCTTGCTCTGTTGCCCAGCCTGGAGTGCAGTGGTGCGATCTCGGCTCACTGCAAACTCCGCCTCCTGGGTTCACATCATTTTTCTGCCTCAGCCTCCTGAGTAGCTGTCACTGCAGGCGCCAGCCACCATGCCTGGCTAATTTTTTTGTATTTTTAGTGAGACGGGGTTTCACCATGTTAGCCAGGATGGTCTCCATCTCCTGACCTCGTGATCTGCCTGCCTTGGCCTCCCAAAGTGCTGGGATTACAGGCGTGAGCCACCGTGCCCGGCAAGGATTTTAATGTTTTTAGTGCCCAAGACTAGAGAATAGATTTTAATGTCAGTAGCATCTGAGACTCATTCTCTTCACTTGGTTTTATTTATCTTTTCTTTCTGAGGAGGGATGGTTTATTTATTAATGTTTTTATTTAAAAAAATTTTTTAGAGACAGGGTCCTTGCTATGTTGCGTAGGCTAGTCTTGAACTCTTGGCCTCTAGTGATCCTTTTGCTTCTTCCTGCCAAAGTGCTGGGATTATAGGTGTGAGTCACTGTGCCCGCTAAGGGATAGTTTTGAAGATTCAGTATTTTGTAGCTCAATATTCTTGGCCTTTTTAGTGTTTTTGTGGAGATTCATAAATCTGCCCTAGATTTCTTTAAGCATTTTATGTTTTCTTATTTCTAGGTGGAAATTCAGAAAGTTCACTGAAAAATCGTTCTGCTTTCTGTAGTGATAAGCTAGATGAATACTTGGAAAATGAAGGCAAGCTGATGGAAACAAGCATGGGTTTCTCTTCTAATGCTCCCACATCTCCTGTGGTGTACCAGCTTCCCACTAAGAGTACCAGCTATGTACGAACACTTGATAGTGTACTAAAGAAGCAATCTACTATTTCCCCTTCTACCTCTTACTCTTTGAAACCTCATTCTGTACCCCCTGCCTCTCGAAAGGCAAAGTCTCAAAACAGACAGGCAACTTTCAGTGGCCGAACTAAATCATCTTACAAGTCCATTTTACCATACCCTGTTTCACCAAAGCAGAAATACTCTCATATGATTCTGGGAGATAAGGTTACCAAGAATTCTTCAGGCATCATCTCAGAAAATCAGGCGAATAACTTTGTTGTGCCAACTTTAGATGAAAATGTGTTTCCAAAGCAGATTAGTTTGCGGCAGGCACAGCAGCAGCAGCAGCAGCAGCAGCAGCAACAGGGAAGTCGTCCTCCAGGCTTGTCTAAATCTCAGGTGAAGCTAATGGACCTGGAAGACTGTGCACTTTGGGAAGGAAAACCGAGGACGTATATCACAGAAGAGCGAGCAGATGTATCCTTAACAACTCTACTTACAGCTCAAGTAAGTAGCTGCTGTTTTCTGGAGGTATATTAGTGCTTGGCTAGAAAGAGTGAGGTTAGTGAGGGGAAATGGGAACGGTAGTTTTTGGCAGGATGATCAGCTAGTTTTTAGCATTTAGAACCTTCATGGGAACTAAGGCTACGTCTTTCCTGTTTGTTCTTTACCAACTAGACACTCAGGTGTAGATTCCTCCTGCCAGCAGAGGGAGACAGTACAATTGTACTTTTGAATAACCTCTCTGCTGTCTAAAGGCTGACCATTCTGAAAATTTCTTAATTTCATTTTCCAACATATGGGCAAGTACATTTGCTGATCTTGTTAAAACAACTTTGAAGATCGTGCCTTTTTTTTTTTTTTTTTTTTTT